ACCCACAGAAAGTGTGACTTTAACTCAGTGACGTTGCCTCTATTTAGTTCTGAACTGTCTCGGTTTTCGGCATCCAGTTTCTCGAGTAACTTTGCTGCTAGACAATATTGCAAGTTTGGCGTACATACCTCCAATTGCTGCTAGACAATATTGCAAGCTTGTGGCATACAATGTGGAACAATGTGGGCCCAATGAGGAATGGCTTTTGAGTTCCCAACCTGCCGTCCAACCTGCCCGCCCCCCCCTGGTTCCCCAATGTTCCCTCCCTCCATTCCTAGAATTCTGATCAGCGGTTGAGATTGCATCTGAGTAGTAGCAGCGATCCGACGGCCCACGATGGCGATAGACTATTGAGGTTTCTGATACACGTAGTAACGAGAGCAGGTGCTTGGGGGTTGCATTCTCTTGAGCGGTTAGGTTTTTCGGCCGGATTTTGTGGTGTAGGTGAAATAGTGGTGGGAAGGGGATGAAGGTGATGCAATTGGGTCTACGGAGAGGCGGACACGTAGAGTGTCGGGACAGATTCTGGCCTTGAGATCGTATGAGGGATGTCACGGCGCCAGCAGTTCTGTTGAGTGGATTTTTTTACCGTTCTGTCTCAGGAAGTAGCGAGGGATCAGAGATTTAGAACTCGGGGTTGCAGGATTGGTGTGTGGGAATAGGGTCTCTGTTGGGTTGGACGTAGAGTACACGAAGTGTTCTCAGCAGCAGGTCTCCTGGGGATAATCAGAAGGTTCGAGAGAAGATCACCAGAGACCCTCAATTTATTTTTGGTTGGTGTTTCCGTTGACAACATTAGAGCTCTTGTCTGTTAGTGACATCAAGGGAAGGAAGAATCAAATCGAGATTGAAGGCTCTGTGAAAAGAGGGAAATGTTTTGGCGAGTGGCTAGTTTATCAACCCCTTCTCTGGTGAGTTCGACCGTGCAAGTTTTGCAGGCTTTGGTTCTTCTTTAAAATCGTGGAAAAAGCTCGCGTACATTTTTTGCGATGGAGGAGCGAATTGTACAAGGCTTAGTGGCTAGCGACCCACTAGTTATGTTGCTTACTCTCTTTCCTAGAAGCGCCATAATTGGGGGGTTTTCTTTCAGAGCTCATTGAAGTGTGACATCATATGTGAAACGTTAAGCTTGTGAGGAGATTGGTAGTGTGCCTCAATTAATTCACAGCAATGCATCCGTTTTCTGATGTCTGAAGTGTGTTCTTTTCTTTTCATTTCTTCTTTCTGTGCTTGAGGTATACTGAGGTATCTGTTTGTCCAAGTGCTGATACACAATTCAAAATGTTGGGCATGAAATGAGAGTTTCTTCTAGTTCTGGGAGGCTTCGAGTGGCGCCACCTAAAAAATTGCCATATCTCTACAGCATACAAAGCTGTGATCTCAGTTTATAATTCTGTCCTTAACTGTTTCCATTTTAGTACTTATTGCCCTTACAAATCATGATCAGCTTACCAGGAACTTTGCTACTTGGATTAGAAATTCGGGCACTGGCGTTAAGTGAAGTATCTATCATGAGTAAATTCTGAGTTGTTATGAGTTGTGTAGCTTCTGATGATTCGATTGATGGTTTCAGGTCTTTTGTTCCTATCTCGAATAGGAAGTAGCGTGTGTTAAACTCACAATCACAGCATGTTGCAATTGAGTACCTCCATGTCTGAGAACATGGTGGTGCTTCTCCATGTTTGAGTGGATATTGAAGAAAAATAACTTCTTGAATGGAAATCAATGTGCTAATTTGTGCAAGAAAATTGAACATGTCATAATGGTTTTTGACCACCTAATGACTTGCATTAATGATGGATTGGAATTTGGACCTTTATTGAGTGAGTTATTTTTCATTTTAAACAAATCTTATTTTCTAAGTGATGTGGTTTTGAAGCACTATCCCAACAAAGTTGAAAAGAATACATGCACTTTTAATGTTGCAACACATGATGAAGTAGAAGAGGATGTCGAGTTTTATGGAAGAAGTTGATCCATGTAAATGGAAAAGAAGACTTTGAATATTATGGATTAGTAAAGCATCTACTACAAAGATTTGAAGACTTGCTTTGCATAGAAGGTGGAGAGTTAGGTAATTTGAAATTGTTGTCAACATGAAGAGTCTTACAATTTCAAAATGCATAAAGAAAGGAAGTTGTGGTGAAGTTTATAAATTAAAGTGGTTGGGACTTGTGTGTGCAACTAAAAAGATAGATGTTGAACTTGATAAAATGTTCATCAAAGAAGTAAGCATTTTAAGAAGTTTAAGCCATCCTAACTTGATAATATATTATTTTGCAATGAAAGGTAGTGCCAATGAAAGCATTGAATCTATTGTAACAAAAGACAAAAAAGAGTATTTGTATATTGAAATGGAGTTGATGCAAAACAATTTGAGCAATATGTTGGAAGTAGAAAAAGAGGTATCTTATATTTTTCTTATTGACATTATGCATCAAATTGCAAAAGAGATGTGTTACTTGCATGACATGCATATTGCACATTGAGGTCTAAAACCTGAGAATATTTTGGTTGACATTGTGGAGACAATGGTTATGAATAAGATCACTCAGCATGCTATTGTAAAAGTGATTGATTTTGGAATGTCTAAGATTGAAGTTGGAAGAAATCCAAAAGCCATAGAGAAAAATTACATTTATGGTAGTCTTAATTATATGGCTCCAAAGGCAATGAGAAATAAATTTCAAATAATGGCAATATGTCATTTTAAAGCTGATGTTTATTCATTTGCAATGATATGTTCTAAGATTCTTTCCAAAAAAGATCCATTTCATGATATTTGTGACATGAAAGAGATATTAGAAAGAATTGAAAAAGGTGAAAGACCAAACTTACCTTCAAATTGTGATGACTTGATTGAGCTTATCCAAGAATGTTGGAGGTTGAATCCTTTGCATCGGCCAAAGTTTGCAAATATTTGTGAAAGATTGAAGTTACTAAAGAAAAAGTATTTAGTTGGAATTGGTATAGCAAATGCTCCAAAGTTTGAAGCAGCAAAAAACAACTATCATCAAAATATAGAATTTCAACAAATACATATTGGATTGCCATTTGTAAGACTTGTACAAATAACCATAGAGATTATGTATAGAATTGATTATATTGATGGTATTTTAAACTTGTTCACTCTTCTATGCCATAATAATGTTTACATGTCTTACTACAAACTCAAGTTAGTAAGACTAGGTTGATATGTAGTATAAGTATCATTTTGATTTTATTGTTGATTTTTTTTATGAATTTTCTAATTGCAGGTTGATATATTTGAGGAAGAAATTTTTGGTAGAGCACAATATTTGTTACAAATAAAAGAACAATGTGCAATTAAAGTGAAGGCATTGTATCTTGTTGGAATAGGTGGAATAGACAAGACTACAATAGCTAAGGCTATATTAACTAGTTTAAAAGACATTTACAATGCCTCATGCTTTGTTGAGTGTATTGAAAGTGGTGGTGATTGCTATACAACTTCTTGCAATATTTTAGAACAATTCAAAGTAAAATCAAAACCAAAGGATGTAAAAGAAGCTCAAAAAATGTTGAAATCATTCTTAGAGGAGAACAAAACCATCTTGGTCTTTGATAATGTGAAGAATTAGAATCAAATTGAAGATGTTGTGCCTATGGATGACATATTTGCTAGCAATGGTAGCACATTGATTGCAACAATTCAAAATTCAAAAGCAATAAGGCATTATGGTAAAGAAGTTTGTAAAATAAATATTGAAGAACTTGATGAAGGAGCAAGTATGAAGTTGTTTATTACATATTCTTGTGGCCATGAAAATTTCTCCAATGAACTTAATGAGATAGCCATAAAAATTGTAAGAGCTTGCAATGGCCTACCATTGAGTTTGAAAGTTATCGGAGCATTTTTAAGAGAGAACAAGAGATTAAGATGTTGGAAGCGAGTGTTACAAAAGTTAAGAAAGGGAAGAGAGTTGGATGGAGATGAAAACAATAGTAACTACAAGATTTGGAAGATATTAAGAGTCAACTTTGACAATTTGAAAGTTAAAGAGAAGAATATGTTTTTGGACATATGTTGTTTTTTCTATAAGGATATTTGTCCACAAGGTATGTCAAAAGAAAGAGCATTGGAAATATGGACCAATAGTCAAAAAAATATCTTTGAACAAGATGTAGAATTTATGTTAGATATATTGATTAATCAATCATTGGTAAAAGTAGACAAAGATGGAATTATAAGAATACATGATCAACTACAAGACATGGATAAAAGTATTGTTAAAAAAGAGATGGAGTATAAATACACAAGCATATAGAATTTAAATGTAGATTCATTTCATAGATCAGCAATTAAGGTAATTTTACTCAACTTTTAGCTAAATGGCATGTGAAAAACTAATGATAATATAAAAGAAACATTATGTAAGGGTTAGATTTTTTATTTAGTTATATGTATTATATAATATTTATTATGTTTTTAAGATACATGTTGATGTAAAGTTATATTAAAGAAAAATCAATCTTGTATTGTAATTAGATTTGTATGTACATTGAGTGCATTACTATTGTAGGAATTCTAATTGAAACTTATATTTGATTGTGTTGATTTACAATTGGAAGGATTATATTACAATAATTTAGACAATAATAATATAAATAAAATAAGCAGTGCTTCTTTTTCATTACTTCGATTTTTGAGTTATAATGTTGGTGTTTCTACTCCCAAAATTGTCGTAAAGATATTAAGCATCTTCTTTGTATTGATAAAACATTCTCTTAGTTTAAAATATTTTTTACTAAACATGTCAGGGGAATACGAATTAAATGAAGAATTAGTAGACAAAGCATTGCAAATGATACATGACAAAGATGTTTGGACAAAACTTCAAAGTTTAAATATCTTTTAATTAAGTAATTATTCTTTTATAGAGAAATTTCCAAATTTATTTTTTAGAATTCCTACATTATTGGAACTTGACTTAGAAGGATGCTCAAACTTAATCATGCTACCAAATGAATTGGAATATATGACTTCTTTGAAGATACTTAATTTAAAATACTGCAATAGTTTAAGATTATTACCAACATCAATAAGAAGTCTTCATGCTTTAAAAAACCTTAATATTGAAGGGTGCTTAAGCTTGACATCATTGCCAAATGAATTGGACAATCTCATATCTTTGACTACCTTTGACATAGAAGGGTGTTCAAGCTTGACATCATTATCAAATGAATTGGGCAACCTCACATCTTTGACTACCTTTGATATCAGGTTGTACTCAAGCTTGACATCATTATCAAATGAATTGGGCAACCTCACATCTTTGATTACCTTTGATACAAGACGGTGCTCAAGCTTGACATCATTACCAAATGAATTGAGTAACCTTTCATCTTTGACTACCTTTGATATAGGAGGGTGCTCAAGCTTGACATCATTGCCAGATGAATTGGACAACCTCACATCTATGACTACCTTTGATACAAGAGGATGCTCAAACTTGACATTATTGCCAAATGAATTAGACAACCTCACATCTTTGACTACCTTGAATATAAGTGAATGCTCAAGCTTGACATCATTGCCAAATGAATTGGGCAACCTCACATCTTTAACAACTTTGAATATAAGTGATTACCAAAGCTTAAAATCATTGTCAAAGGAATTATACAACTTCACAAATTTGACTACTTTAAAAATAAACAAATACTCAAGCTTGTCATCATTGCCAAATGGATTGAGCAACCTTATATCCTTGACTATCTTTGATATCAACAAGTGCTCAAGCTTGATATCATTGTCAAATGAATTAGGCAACCTCACATCTTTGACTACTTTGAATATAAGTGTATGCTCAAATTTGATATTATTGCCAAATGAATTGGGCAACCTCACATCTTTGACTACTTTCAATATAAGTGAATGCTCAAGTTTGATATCATTGCCAAATGAATTGGGAAACCTTACATCTTTGACTACCTTGAATATAAGTAAATGTTCAAGCTTGACATCATTGCCAAATGAATTAGGCAACTTCATATCCTTGACTATCTTTGATATCAGCAAGTGCTCAAGTTTGATATCATTGCCAAATGAATTGGGCAACCTCACATCTTTGACTACTTTGAATATAAGTATATGCTCAAATTTGACATTATTGCCAAATGAATTAGGCAACCTCACATCTTTAACTACTTTGAATATAAGTGAATGCTCAAGCTTGACATCATTGCCAAATGAATTAGGCAACCTCACATCTTTGACTACCTTGAGTATGAGTGAATGCTCAAGCTTGACATCATTGCCAAATGAATTGGATAACCTCACATCTTTGACTACCTTGAATATAAGTAAATACTCAAGCTTGACATCATTGCCAAATGAATTGGGCAACCTCACATCTTTGACTACCTTTGATATTAGCTATTGCTCAAGCTTGACATCATTGCCAAATGAATTGGGCAACCTCTCATCTTTGACTACCTTCGATATAGGAAGGTATTCAAGCTTGATATCATTGCCAAATGAATTGGACAACATCACATCTTTGACTACCTTTGATACAAGAGGGTGCTCAAGTTTGACATCATCATCAAAAGAAATAGTCAATCAAATTTTAAAAAGATATCTTTCAAAATTAGTTAATAATTAATAGATAATATATTAATAAATTATTAAAAAATATAGAATCAAGTCTTGAAAAGATATATATATATATATATATATATATATATAATATAATAGTATATAGTTATATAAATGTGATTAATTTTTTGACATCTTTATTGTGTAATTTTTACTTGATATATTATAAATCCTACTAATACATCTTAATTGGTGAAATTATTGAAAGCAAACTTTTAATATTGTCCAAATATAAATATACTAATATTATAAATTTTATTTAATGATCAAAGTATTTATTATGATTTAAAATAATTTATAAATGAAAATAAATTTATTAAGCAAAAAGTCAATAAATTGGAGTCTAAATAAATATTAGATTCAATTACAATAGATTGTTTAGTATATTTTTTATAACAATAATAATTTATATGTAGTTATTGAAATTAAGGTTTAAGGTTTTTAATTTAGAATTACATAGATGATTATGGTTTTTTTTAATTTTATATTTATAGTTTGGAGTTTAGAAGTTTAGGAGTTTAAGATTACATAGGTGTCTCTAGTATTGTATTATGTACTTGGCTATAATAGATAAACTTAAATTTTATAATTAACAAAGAGCATAATAATCTTAATAAAATCTCAAATAAATTCTAATTAAGTCTTAGTAATCTTAATCAAATAATCAATAAATCTCAAAGGAATCTTAAAAAAATCCTAAAAAGAATCATAAATAAATCATAAAGAATCTCTATAGAAATTATAAATAATCTTTAGAAAATCATTTTTAAAAAAATCCTTAAAAAGTTTCAAAGAAATTCTTAAGAAAATCCTATATAAATCTTATTAAAATCCTAAGCAAACTCTAATAAAATCCTAAGAAAATCTTACAAACCTTAAAAATCCTAATAAAGCCTTATTTGAATCCTAACCAATACTAATCAATCTTTGCAGTAGTTTCAAACTTCAATAATTGTTAATTAAACCGTTGATCTTTCTTAAAAGATTTTACACATTTTAATCTATAATTTAACAATAAGTATATAAATTTTTTATATAAAATAAAATTTACCATTTTTTTATATAAAATCAAATTAAAAGTTTTTTTTATATAAAATCCAATTTTAATCCAATTAAAAAATTATTTAAGTTCAAAAAAACTATACTAATAATTAAAATAAAAAAATTTAATTATTTTTTTAATTCTCAAAATTCCAAATCATCTAAAATATCTTTGACTTTGTATAGCTCTTACAAATTCAATAATAATCAAAATTTGATCACAAATTCATTAATATGCATAAAATAAAATACTAAAAAACTAACTTAGGCTAGTTGTAATTTTTTAGGTTTTCAAATTACTCCTATATCCACTTGTAAAGATATAAAGATATGAGTTGTATTGCTTTATATGTTCTTCTGTAATATAAATTATGCATTAGATATATCATAAATCAATTAGTATAAGTTCATAGATATTTTTTTTATTACTCCAAAATACTACATGTTCCATGACATCTACAAAAAAAATAGATCCTCTTTCTTCTATCAATACCACTACACGAAGGGGCATCAAAAGAAGCAATGAAGACAAAGCAAAAAAAAAAAATTAACTAAGATAAATACTCTGATTCTTTTGCAATGTTCCAATAAAGCTATTTAAACTTATTAAATAACATTACTATTTGATCTTTTTTACACAATTTATTCATGAAAGGTTGGAAAATTAATAATAATCAATTAATTTACTATTAGAGAAGTAGATCATGTGTCATCAACTATCCACAATTTTATTAAAAGAGTAATTGAATTTTATAAAAGTTCCCCATTTTTCTATACAACAAACTATATGCACTAGTCTTACCCGAATTCTATGCCAACTGCGATTTGATGTTTTAATCTTCGAATTATATGTTAACAATGCTTTACAAAATAGTTCATTGCTTTAGACAATTATAATACTGCAGTTGGAAGAACCTAATTAGCAATAGAAGACGATAATCAATTCACAGTAACAATATATTTGACTTAAAAACAAAGCGACATTTGTGCTGGAACATAAAACTTCATAGAACGCATACAGCACGACCCTTTTACAACAAAGTTTTACACAACTCACGAAGTCCAGAGTGCAAATGTGCACACCTGACCAATCTCTTGAAGCGATATTGGTATAATCTTACATATTTCCTGTTGCCAATCGGCGACATGCCAGCTGCATTGGGTGAACTTAAAGGGAGAGAAAAGGGAACTACGAGTTTGTAAAAATCACAATGTTGCTCTTTTAAAGCGCGATTATTCCACCCCAAGGTGCGAAAATCACAATACTGCTTTTCTCAAGCGTGAGTCAAAACGATGTCCGTACCAGTCTCTCAATACTTCATAATTTTAACAGTGCAACCGTTATGCTGTTATTGTCCGTTAAAGCTTGGAGTAACCAAAGCGATACTCTCCAGATACCACATTGTTTATGCGGAATCTGTATTCCTTTGAGAGAATTGGACAGAAGACAATCTGTACAACATTGCGATTACGAGGAAAAGGCTCTATCCACTAGTTCTGCATCTGGGAATCGCCTCAACACAAAGGCATCGATGGCTGTATACATCGAAACATTATAGTAATGACACAATGATGTAATTATTACATAAGTGAGATTTAGGATTTAGAGTTTAATGAGCTTCGGAATTCCAAACTCTGAAACTGCTCTGTTTCCTCTCGACAAACTCGGAAACTTGTGGAACTCATTACGACTGCCACTGCTCCAATCGTACTCCCTGTAAAGGATCAATTTGGCCTTGTACTTCCCTCTGAAGACAATGTGCTGATGAAAAGACACGCTGGTGGGTATCCTCCCCCAGGTAAACCTACTTCATCGAACTGGACAAGCTGGTGAGACATGCAGCTTCGTTTCAATAAGGGGTGAGAGGTATGGAACTTGTAAATTTATGTAATGCATAGTCGAGAGTTAGGCAGATTCACTCAAAACTCAGTGCTTCTCCTGCATCCGAGTATGAACCAAAACGGCCATTTCCAGGGTATGCAAGACACAGAGAGTGAAACCGGGTGGAAGTAAGATTAATCTCATTACTCTGGAGTTAATTCCGTAACTTCTAAAAAATTTAGAGCTTACTACACGGCACCTCATGTGCTGTCGATAAGCTGGATCAGATACACATTCTCGGAGGTCCGAATCCCAAACAAAATAAAAGAAACACAGCTACTCTGCAACTGTCTCTATCGTCGACTTGGGCAGGAGCCAGGAAGACTTGCCTTCCATGTCCAGAAAACTTCTTCACGAAAAGAATAGACCAGATCTAGATTCACATTGCCACTTAGATTATACTCTTAGGACATACCGAATGGCGAGGTCTGGTGCATATATCTAGACATGGTTTTCAATGCGGTAGTGCTTGCGATGCCACATCTGGTATTAGACTTCGCCAGCTTCGACTCGCATCTTGGCGTGGTCGCCATCTTCCTCTTCTTCGGAGCAACGTCCGTGATAGGCTGATCCGTGACCGTGAAGTAGCCCGACAAAGATTCAAACCCTACATCAAGGAAATACGATTCCATTGCATCTTGGAGCATTCGAAGTTGCCATGCCAAAGGCTTCTCAGGGAATGATTGTCTCACTTGTACTAGAACTTGAGCTTTAATAGTTTTGAAGACGTCGATCTGGCAGTCCAGCGCAGCGGTTAATGCCTCCTCCTCTGTAGGGTATGAGCCCACAACCTTGAACTGCTCAACTGTTTCATGAACTACACTGTACTGCTTCTGATAGTGGATGTCCATGAAGGAGGTTGCGCTACCAGGATCCATCTAATGAGGGTTCTGATCTACAAACAACGATACACAACAACTGCACGCTCAGGATCGGAGGTTGAACTACGGAAACCAGAGATCTGTACCAGCAGAATGAAATCACGAAGACGTTGTTACGAATCGGTACAGAGCTTGGTAGACCTGATAACGATATTTTCGTTCTACAGATATGTAATTTCCAGAAGGTTCAAACAGCGAGAAGACAAAGACCGCTACAATTGCAACCATCGACAGCAGAAGGTAGTATCACACGAAGGACCTACCGCGAGTCCATCCCAAAAAGACCTGAACAAGAGCCGTAGTCATTGAGAAGTTCAACAACCATTCTAGAAAAGACGAACAAGATACTCTAGGCCACCTCGGATTGGTAGCCACCGTACCCATTTCTTCAAATGCCAGGCCGCCACGACATACAGCATTCTTTCAGTCATTCTCAATACAAAGCTTGAACGCCCGCTACACTGAAAAAGAAAATACAAATCCAATGCCTCGGGCCCAGACCCACACTCACCTCAGAAAAGGAAGCCCATACGAACAATAAAGACTTGCAGCGCCCACACAGAAGGGCAGCATCGACTGAAGCGACAGTAGCAGCAATAGGAGCAGTAGCACCACGGGCAATGAGAAAAGCCCCGAGCAGCGGAGTGAGAGTGGAGAGGTATAGAGGCAGCGGCGGAGGTGGAAAGGCGGCACGCAACGGCTCTGGGCAGGGAATGGTGCGACTGGTGACGAGGATTCAAAGGAAAGGGGACATTATTCATGGAGTCTCTCTCTCTCATCTCCATCAGCCTAGCGCTCACCCCCCCCCACCTGCCATATAATCAAAAACAAATTTCTAATTAATATTTAATCATCTTGGTTCAATAATAATTCAAGATATTTAAACATGGTTTTTATAAACGCTTCTTAGTTTTTTTTCTTGACTTAATAGCTAGAAGATTAAGAGTTGGTTAATAATTTTACCTTCTAAGCTATAGAAACTCTTTTTTGCCTTAGAAAGGCCATAAATTAGTAAAATCAAATTAAAATAGGTGAATAATTAGCATGGTTGTTACTAGGGTTAAGCTGATGGCAAGATTAGGCTAAAAACTCTTTAGGATAGGTTAGATTAATACTTGAGGGTCGACAATTTGTGGAAGAGAGTCAAAAATAGATCTTTAGCCACTAAAACGATCGCCTAGGGCAAAGTAGGAGGACATTTGAAGATTAACAATTAGGATTTGTGAGCTAGCTTTAAGTTGATTCCAAAGTTGTAAGGCTTGTTTTCAGAGGATTTGGAATGATTTTGTAATTATTGTTCAAAATCAGGGTTTGTATCAGTGATTTGGGATTTATGCAATACAATTAATGCTAGCACTCTTGGCTAGTTTTTGCAATTGGTGTCACATCTAAATTCAAGATTTGATAGTATTTGATTGATTAGGTGTACTAAGTGTGTAAAATTTTGTATTAATCTAATGGTGCAATTGGCAAATATTTGGATTTTAGTAGAAGAAGGTATTAAAAGTTGGCAGTTTGGGATTGAATAGGATTTCTATGAAATCTAAAGATCTATTAGTTGGATCAAGGTGAAATTTAGCATGGTGTTAGAAGACTTCAATATCAAACTACATGCCGATTTTGAATTGGAGTTAATAATTGAAGAAGGAGAAATTGCTATTGAAACATTTGCATCAACTTTCAAGTTGGTGGCTAAGTGACATTAGTGTGGTTTTTGGGCTTTTTCTCACAATCTATAAGTTAGATTAAATTGAATTTTTTTAAATATATAGAAGGCTTATAGTGGCATTTGTATACAAAATTTTGCATCAAGTGGATGATCAAATTAAGAATTATAATTCACCAAAACTCAGTGGCTAAGATTAGCGCTTATAAGGAGAATTTAAAATTTCATAATTATGAAAGTAATAAGATAATTAGAGTTTATGTATGGTTGAGGTTATTAAAAAGAGTGTTTTGAAGTACTTTGTACTGACTTTAAGCACTTTTGAATTAAAATTTGAATTGCATTCTTCTTATATGGATGAAACCTATTACGATTTCTTGGATATTTGTAAAGCACAACTTCAATTTTCATAGCCATGTGCCTGGTGCATTCTCAAATAAGATAACACGTAATATGAAATAAATAGTGAATCTGATATGAAAGTTTGAGGTAGAAGGTATTGGATTGTATTTATGTTTATTTGGAATTGATGGAACAAGAAGGCAAGAAGGTTGAATTTATAGTTTTTGATGGAGCTTTGGATAGAATTTCAAGTGGACCTTCAAGTGGAGCTTTAAGTGGATTTTCTACTAATGGACAAGGTATGTATTTTGATTCAAATATTAAAAAATGTTTTAAGCATTTATATTATTTATACAATAGCAATAGAGCAATGATCTCAAAGAGGCTTTGGCAATTAAAGCATTGCAAGCAGTGATTATCAAAATTGAGTAATTTGATAGAAGAGATATTTGAAAGTATTTGAGATGTTTTTATGGAAAATGGAATTGAATTGGATTTTCAAAAAGAAGATGATTGAGCTATTTTTACTTGCTATAATACCGGAGATAAGACAACATGTTAAATTAATTATAGAGTATTTTGGAGATTCATGGGAGACATTTTCACATGCATTAGAGGAGAAATATTTTTAGAGGATACTATTTGGATTATTAAGAAATTATTTTTGGAATGGATTGAACAACCTAACAAAAATTTGCAAGCTACAAAGCTATTGAGAGAATTTGATAGGTAATATTTTTGATTATCAAAGATGGAAAAATTAAATATGGAGCCAAAGAAGGTTGAATTGCTTCTTTGAATAGCTAATGGAGAATTTTAAGAAAAGTTAGAAATTCTTCTTGAGGATAAAGAAGAAGATGAAGGGTTGACAATAAAATAAAAAGAAGTTGAAGATGTTGTAGAATTACATACAAAGAGAGAACTGAAAAAGAATAGGATTAAGATTCAAGGAGTTGGACAAGTATCTAAAACTCAAGTACCTACTTCATAATTAACAATACCTACTGTTGAACCTCTAAAGACTACATCAAAGAAAGAAGATATGGAACTTGAGGAGATTATACATGGGATGCGAGATCTTCAAATCAAATTTACAAGGCTTAAGAAGAAGACTTCTAAGAGAAGTTAAAAGGCTACTTCTAAACAAGAATATGTGCAAAGATATATTTGGTGTGATGATATTTCTCATTCTTGAAAAGATTGCAGTGATTTCAATGAGATGATATAACAAGACATTATTTTTTTAAAAGACAAAAAAGTGGCATTGAAAAATACTAGTGAACTTCTCCAAACCAACTTTGGTAAGGGAAATATAAAAGTATTAGATAAGGATTATTTGCTTGTACATGGACTTACAACAATAGAAGCTATAAGTTATGGTACTAAGATAGACAATGACTTTGATGAAAATATAAAGATAAGTAGATTTTGGACTTCTATCATTTTTACGATGTAAGAAAAAATTACCTCGGGAGGCATTATTAAGAACTGTAGCTATAATACTGTCAAGAACAAAAATCTTTAAAAAAAAAATCCTTAATATACTCTTATATCACTCAAAAGAATTACAAAGTTACTTATGAGCTCTCAATTATACTCTATTTTTTTTATTTTTTTATTTTTTTTCCTATTTTATGATAATTAAACATGTTAGATTAGGATTTATATAAGTCGAATTTAGTTTTATAGAATTTTTAGGATTACAACCCTTGATGGTATAAATTATAGTCTAATTCCTTGAATTAGATTAATTAGGACTAAAGTGATAAGAGTTAGAAAATTAGAATAGCAACTTAGTTAGTTTAATAATTTAGAGGTTGTAAGTCATTACTATAAGGGTTGACTAAAAGACTATGAATGCATCTATGATCATTCACATGATTTAGGAGTTCGAATTATAATTCTCTAAAACATTTAGAAAAGTTAGCAATAGTAATTTTGGATTTTCCTCCAAATTTGACAAATTTAAGTGGCATGGTGGTTCTTCTACTTAATGGGAGTCTTTTTAATGCAATGGTGGCACCGGATTTACCTCATGGAGTGAAGAAAATAAGATCAGCAACCTCTCCTTCAAATCACAAGAGAAGCAATGAAATTCTCATTTTGAAGAATTTCACAAAAATTGCCATGACCCTTGTAAGTAAAAACTTCCATGAAAATTATAATTGAGCATGGATTGAGGCATGTGAGTAGTCGATCTTAGCTTAAAAAGGTGCTTTGAATACAATACTACAATTAGATTTACAAAAAAAAAATGCTTTCTTGACCATTTACAAGAGCCATCAGCCTTGATAACGAGATTGGCTCTTGGATGAATGAAGGCCGTAGATCTAGATTAGGGATCTTAAAAATCAAGGATGGAGATGAAGCCACCCTTCTACGAGCCTCCACTCAATTGTATAAGAGAGGCTTGGTTTTCCAAGCCCTATCTCTGTCTCCTCTTTTGGGTGAAGGGCGGAGCCATGCCAAAATTTGGCCAAAATCCTAATCTTAATTTTATTTAGATTTTAATTCTCATTTTGAACCTTGTGATTGTGTATGTATTGATTTTGCATTGTGAAGGATGGTCATTAAGTTTTAAAATATGTTTCATTGAGGTAGATATCTCCTCGGCCTTCCAAATACCCCAAGGATTTCAAGGGCCTCGGATTTTCTTCAATCAGTCACTCAATTTCTGTTTTCTCAATGTGAGATTTTGAAAAGTTGTAGCTTTTGTTCTTAGCTTTCCAACAAGATAATATTTTCTTGATTTGGAGTAAGAAGGAATTTTTGGTGAATTTTTGAATTTGAGGGAGTCGACTGCCTTTGCAGTTTGAATCAATCAAGTTTGGAAAGGCATTTCTCAGTGCCTGGTGATTGGATTTATTTGCAATTTTGGGAACATCAAGCTTTATAAGCTAAGCTCTGAAAGGCTTAAGTTTTGGTGAATTTGAAGACAATCTGAATTTTTAGTGAATTTCTAAGTGAAGAGGGTTAGTCACCACAGCAGTTTGGATCACTCAACTTCAAAGGAGGAATTCTCACGATTGGATCATTAGATTGCAACGAAGATTGTTGGATCAAAAACGCCTTCAAGTCAGCCTTGCAAGAAGCTAAGAATCATTCAAATTGAAGCCGATTACAAATTTTGGAAAATTTTGGAGTAGAAGGGGGTCGCTGCCTTCAATCCTTAGGTGTTGTAAAGGTACCTTCGCTTTCACCTCTCTCACTTTATTTTTACTATCATCTTCATAGTGAATTGTAAGCTCCACATTTCACTTTTTGGCTAATAAATTTTAATTTTAACTTTTAGCCTTTAATATTCTCACTTTAACTTTTAACTTTTAACTTTAACTTTTAAACTAAACTTTTAATTTTAACTTTTCACTTAATCTTTAATCTTAACTTTTAATTTAATTTTTTTACTTAACCTTTTAATTTTAATTTTAACTTAACCTTTTAATTTTAACTTTTAAGTTTGAATTAAAAGTTAAGTTAAAAGTTAAGTTCAAAAAAAAATTTAAAATTAAAAATTAAGATTAAAAGATTAAAAAACTTAAGTTTTATTCTTATTGTCAATTAATAGTAATAATTTAGTTAATTATTTTTATTGTGTTTGCATAGTAAATTTCATTTAACATGTTAATTTAATATTCGTAACCATTGCTTAGAAGGCCTAAACTAATTGAATTTTTAATATAAAGATTTA